GAGAGAGAGAGAGAGAGAGAGAGAGAGAGACTGATAGTAAAGGAAAAAGATAACAATGAAATAAACAACAAAATATGAACTAAACTTGTTTTCAATTTTGTCTCTCTTTGTGTGATTATTGGTATAAAAGGCAGTGTTTAGTAAAATAATAGGAAATAAATGCATTAATTATAGAATTACATCAATTGTAGTTATGATAACAAACGGATTCATATAAATGTGAATGATATGAATTAGTAATACTTCAGACATAAATCATAAACAAAATGATTTAAATACAAACTACTGATCAAAATACACAATCATTCAAATGTTTTGTAATCGATTCGACAAATAATAAGTTAACTATATTTTTAGACTTTAAAATGAATATTAATGAAAGATTGGGTTTTGCGACACAAACCGAAATATGAATTCATGTTTTTATGAACACAAATTTGTTTTTATCAAAAATAATGTTTAATGTGTTAAGAGTTGATATGAATAGAAGTTACTCTTGAGATCTACTCTCAAACAAACTTTGCATAACATATAATGCAAAGAAAGATTTAGTCTATGAATTGTATTGAATGAAGTGATGCAACAGTTATGTGACGATCACTAGAGGAGGGACTTTACTATCAGACGGGTTGCCCACCACTGCCTGTATGGATAACCACTGCCACTATTCCCTACATTTCAATTATTTCATTACATTTTTACATTTTATATTGAATTCAATGCAAACATTATGTAAATATTATTTAATAATATGCCAGGAGTTTCTTAAATCAATTCTTTGATCCAACATTTTGTCAATTCATGACAAAACAAAAATTATATTTTAAGCAACAATCCTAACAAAAGGTTACCAAAGGGTAAATATATCGCATTATAAACAATACTGGAAACTAATTTCAAATTGCAAAGTATGCGACCATTTCATAATAAACCTGGTAATAATGACACTTCAATTTAATGTAATGACAATCATTTATTACATTATCGATATATGAAATGCGATTAATTGTTGGGATTAATTGAAAAGGATATAAATAAAAGATACACCGGTTGTGGTGTAGAGGTTGTAGTGTAGAGGTTGTGATCTACAGGTTGTGGACTACAGGTTGTATTGTTGTATGGGTTGTGTCCATAGGAAAGTGGGCAACCGGTTGTGACCCCCTGTCCCCCGATCAGTGCCCACAACTGTTGCAAACACTGCGAAACACTGGTTGTGAGAATTGAGAGCACGTGTTGGCATTGAATGGAGGGTTGGCTGTGGTATGGGTTGACGTCATGGTATGGTATGTATGGAAAGGCAGGGAATGAGGGATAGAGTGTAGGGATAGAGTGTAGGCATAGAGTGTATGGCAGAGTGTATGCACTGCTTGTGCGCCGACACACAGCTCTATAAGCGCTCGAAATTAGTTTTGCTTAACGTTTGCATCGTTTCAGTCGTTTCGCTCCCAAAACACTAAACACACGTTCAATGCATTCAACGATTGCCTTATTTCTCACTCATTATTAGTTTTTTCATTTGTTGTGATTTTGAAGTTTAATATTGATATATAAAGTGATTAGTATATCGTTTAGTGCAACCCTTTGGCCATAATGTCCGCCGCATTGGTGTCCTCGACATACTTCGGAGACTTCGGCGATCACTACCGCGTAAGTCAGCCATACATTGCATACATTGCCATACATTACCGTTATATCACTTTTGCTGCTATGAATCAAATGCTTTTAAATGCTGTGCTTTTTCTATAACATTGATATACCGTAGCATTGAATGAGAAAATGTTGGGAACAATCGGTGTATTTATAGCTTAGATGTGAAACAAAGCATTGATTGTATGAATGTTTGCATTTTTTTGTGCAAAACATGGAAATAGGTTATCATGTTATGTGTTATTCAAGTCATTAGAGCTATGTTTGGACCGCAGGGCCAGCATTGAGAGCAGGTGTCCACTCATTGCAAACTATTGTCTTTAATGATGTGTCCCATCCATGGCTGGCAACCATGGATGGCATGACATGTGGATGTGTTGGATGTAGTTGTGTTAGTAAGAAGTAGTAGCGTTAGTGGTATATCATGTACTGTATGTGTGGTAAGAGTGTGTTAGGTGTTTAGGTCAGGGCATACAACCACTCACAGCTAGATTGAGCCCAAGTCTAGTTTGAATGTAGGCTATGAGGCATTGAGGCTGTCATACATTGCCATACATTGCCATACATTGCCATACATTTGATGTTTCAATGCTTTCCACTGTATATCTGATGAGATTTTTTACATTGATTTGTCTTTTTTGGTGAAACAGTCTAACGGATCGACAACTTTGCAGAACTCATCCAAAAACAGTTTTGGCTCACAATTAGACAAGAAGTCGACTCTTCAAGCAGTTTATAATTCAGTGCAACAAAACAATACCATTAATAGTAATCATAATAATAATACCATTAATGGAAATGTTATGACCCGTCGGTTAGTGACCACTACAGCCAGTGTTCCGATAAACTTAAGTCATTCATCGCATAGATTGCAGTCGTCGTCAACAGTGCCACCAATGCATCAGAAGAGTGCCATCGGTGTCACCAATACTCACACACCGATCGCTCTCGTCAGAGGCCTGTCCTCCCAGTGCTCGCCAACCAATGCCACTATCAATGCAAACAATAATAACAACAACAACAGCAAAGAGCACAAGAAGTTAGACCGCAGTTATAGTGAACCGGCGGAGAAGTCTCAGCAACAGTTGGTTCGCCTCAACTCGGCGTCGGCCACAGTGGCGGCCGGACCCATGTCTTCGCGCTATAAGACAGAGCTGTGCCGCAGCTTCGGAGAGGTGGGCACCTGTAAGTACGGTGATAAGTGTCAGTTCGCACACGGAGGCCATGAGCTTAGGATTATCACAAGACATCCCAAATTTAAGACCGAGAACTGCAAGAGTTTCCACTCGACCGGCTTCTGTCCGTACGGTCCGCGCTGTCACTTCATCCACAACAGCGAAGAGGCCAAGAAGAGTATGCTTAACAACTTGTCCACCACTGGTGGCAACGGCAACGGCGCCCAACAGAATGGCCTCAACAACAACGGCCATCACTCACAGAACCGAATGGCAGAACAGATGATGAATAATCTGAATAACAATTCTCTGGCAAACAATGGTTTCGGTCAGACGTATCACTCGAACCAAAGTTCCCATCCGTTACGTCCGAAAGCGCTATCGATTGGTAGCTATAGTTTGGGCTCTTCGGGAGAGATCTCACCGCCCAGTAGTCAAAGTGGAAGCCCGACATCGCTCAACAGCTTCTTCACTGAAGACCCCTTCAATCCGTTTGTGTCGCCAACCAATCATACGTTGGGCTCGTGTGCTAACAACGCCTTCTCCTTCTCACCCGACTTCGCATCTCTCGTCCCCACAAACAAGTCGTCCGCTTTCGGCGGTTCGCAGCCGACTCTCTGTCCGCCATTTGGTATCACTGCTAACCTGAACGCCGACATTAGCAACGAATCAGCGGCTGGAATGCCGGCCATGTTTTCAAATCAGTTCCAGACCTCAAACAACGCTTACGACGAGCACATGAATGACGGAATGCAAAGTATGTCCACAACTCCGCCATCGCAACCATCAAAGTTGTCATATCCAGTGGCGTCTGAATCACCTGTTGATAGCATCGCATCCGATGTCGAGGCACTGAAGTTGGATCACAACAACAGTCAGGGCTCGAGCTCGCCGTCCGTCGATATGGCCAAAGCTGGTCCACGTCTTCCCATTTTTGCCCGCTTTGCCAGTAATGGCAACACTGACTCCGATTAAGGCTCAGGTTTGGCCATTCAGTCCACACCACGACTGACACAACTCCCAAAACCCCTCTTTCACTATACGTTCCGTTTTGTGTCCAATAAGTGGGCAAATGAGAGGAAGCGCTGGAATTTGCCCTTTTGTTAACACTCTTTAACCCTAACCTAAGCCACTCTCAGGTAATTTATAATACTTTTGTGTGAATCGCTTTCGTATTATTTAACACTTCTTCGGGACCAACACATCAACACTTCTTCCTTCCATTTCTTCTCTTCATTTTTGCCACTTTTTTATTATAATTTCTTCGTTTGGTTTTACATTAGTCTTCATTAGTCAGAGTTTGTGTCCCAAAACAATGGCTCAAAATTTGTTATAAATTTATTTAATATAAAGACATTTATAATATTAAACATTATATTATGTTTGTTAATCAAAATTGAATAATAGCTGCTTTTAATTATAAATTAGCGAATTATATATGATTTCATTAATTTTGTGTAATTCAGTTAAAACATTCACATTATTCTTATAACTCTTAATTAATTTAATAATTAGTACTAAAATTAATTTATTGTATATTTTGATTATGTGTATAACGGGGTGAAAATAACAGCATATATCATATGAGTTAAATCCAAGACTGTTTTAATTGTGAGATCCACTGAATCATTATAAAAATGTGAACCAAATTGAGATATACAACAAAAATTGATTTATACTTTTTGACTGCATTTGAAAATTTACTATCATTTTCTCATTTTCAATATCTATTCGCAGCTAAAACTTTATTTAAATATTTATTATTTAAACGAAACAACATTAAGTGATTGTAGTTTTCCTCTTATTATATTTTATCAATAATTAATATATAAATACATAAACAAAAACTTAATTGGATTTTAAAGTGCCTTTGATTTTTTAATTGAAAAAACATATAAAACATATTGCTGTTTATAATATTTAAAATATTTATAATTTTTTATTAATATTTCATATAATGATTATATAATATATATATATATTTGTAAAATGATTGAAAGGCAGCGAAAGAAGGCCTCAATTTATGTTCAAAAATGTCATAATAATATACTTTACGATTACATTAATTTAATTTTATTATTGCTTTTAATTCTTAATTTAAACTTATTTATAAAAATATCATTAAAACACAAAAATAATTTAATCACTACTTTACTATTATTTAAAAAATTGTTTTTATTTTTGTTTTCTTTTAATAACTTATATATTATTGTCTGATGTGTTTATAAACCGATTAATGATTGCAATGAATGTTCTTATTATTTAAGTTAATATTAATTATTATTATTATTCAAAGAAATGCTCATATTTTTAATGATTATTTAAATTAACGTTTAAAGTGTTTATTAGTAGTAAATAAAGTAATTAATTTAAAATGATTTTGAAAATTTATATTCAAATACATATATATTTTTGAATTAAACATTAAATTTAAAAAAGACATAATTATCTGTTGTTATGTCATAGAGTTGTATATGAGTTGAGCCAAAGAAATGCTTAAAATGTTTGAAATGTTAGTGTCTTATGGTATATGACATACATAACAGTTGCCTAAACCTTGTAAACAATTGGACCAAAAGTTGTTTAAAACTATATATATTTTTACACTAAAATCAACAAAATCTCATTCCGTTATTTAAAATTTTCTTTTGTCTCAATTTTCACGATATTTATTATTAATTTGTATTTTGAAAAATAAGAAATTAACTTTTGTTCGTATTATATATAAATTTAACATTTTAAAAATGCATTTAAATTATACTGTAGTGTATTATATAATTATAATAATATCTATTAAATTATGAATTTTGTATTTGAATTTGTATTTGTATTTCGTGTATAAGAATTTATATATATATAAATATTTAAATAACTTTTAACAACAAATTTGTTGAATTTAGGTTTCATTACAAATAAGATTAATAATTAAAAATATGTTTGTATTCATAGATATTTAAATTAATAGCGGTTTTCAAATAAACTTAAAATCAGAAAAAGACATTTTGTGTTCATTATTACTGTGAATAAACACTCCGTAAGTGTTTCTCTCCTTAAGTATTGGAGACTTGAATACGTGATAAAGAAATGAAGGTTTTGTGGTTTGAATTGATCGTATGATTATACTGTCGTAGTGCCCAAACTTATGTACACAATACAGAGCTGCACAGTATGTACTCTATTGGTGTGAGTATTGGTGTGTATAGTGTACTGTAGTGTCAAATAGATTTTCTTATATTTATCTGTTTGTTGGCTATAAATCCAAAAGCGATGACCTTTTTATCGGTTCTCCTTATCGGCTCTTTTGCTCAAAGCCTGGAGACTCTCATTCAGTCTCTCATTCACAGAGTTTCGAGAAATGCTTTCAAAACTTTCATGAAATGTGAATATTGTTATCCGAAATCTGCTTTTTCTCTCAAAATTAACCAAATATTGTATTTCAGAATTAGACAAATAGACATAAATTCAATTAAGACATCCAATCCGCACATAAGACATACAATTATGGCATATATTTATATTTGCGGTCATCACTAGTCTTCTGATAAAAATATATATTTAATTTAAGATAAAAAATTATTTTTCTTTTGAATATAAGTAATAATTGAGTTATTGTTTGACATTATGTTTAAAAACCTATGATATGAATGCGCTTAAAATGAAGGACAGATGTATTGATGTTATGCAACGACATATCGACAAAGAAACAGACACTTGAAATAAGGCATAACTAATGCCAAATGAGACCTCAATTTCATACAAGTGATGATAAATACTGAATACAAATATTGAAAACCTGTTATCATAAACGAAGGGAAAAATATAAGTTTATTTAAATTATATAAGAGTCTATGCGTTGAACGATTGTAACAGTTTTTACGTGTATTTCTTATAATTAGATCGTCATATAAATGCATTTATAATGCATTTCTTGCCTTTTATTCTTGATTTCTTGATATTTTTCTATTCAATCATTTTTTTGTTAAAAGATTTTGTGCCATAAAAACTGAACCTTTTTTATTTGGCTTTAATGAACTTTTTTTCTATTTAATGAAATAAATGTTTTGTTGTAACGATTGTATATTTTATACATTTCTTCCCATTAATTCGCTCTAAAAATAATTTAATAGCACTTTAGTGGACAACTCGTTTGCAAACAACAAGTTGTTTAGCATTGAAATGAGAAATTAATCGTCAATTCTTTGATGAGAAGGGAAAACAAGGCTTTATATCACATCACAATTTAGTATATTTATAAATATTGCCAAATTAGTGGTGGGTATTATAGCGTGTAATTTTGTATTTGGTATTCAGTATATACCTCCTTGTTTGGCATAATGTCAATCCAAAGTCAATACTATGTTTACAACAAATAGAAATTTATTTAAATTTCTTGACGTCGATTGCCGTGCATTCAAACAAAAACATTTTATATTACGATATATTGTAAAGTAATTTTATGTAATTATTTAATCAAACTTTAATTTCTGAGCCAAACATATGATACAATTACTTGAGAAGTTGTTTAGAGAAATCTAATTTATGTTTACAACACTTTATCTATGATTTCGTAATATTCTAGAAGTAATGGAAATTATTTTCTGAGGAAAATACAATTATTTGTCTGAATTGAAGCACAACTTAAGTGTTTATTAATTATAATATGTTTTCAAATATCAATACTTAGAAATCTTTAATCGGTAAGAAATACATCGTTATTTTACTTAATTTTGAGCAAAATGTAAGTTTAGTTATAAATATACATGTATAATATGTTTGGGTATTTAATATAAAATTAATAAATACAGAATTTAGACATAAAAGTGGTAAAGTTGTAATGAATGAAGTAAACCAAACATTAATTTATTAGTTTTCAATCATTTCTCTTTTTATTTTCGCTAACATTTGGTAAAACTTTTAACTCAAATAAATTCATTCATTGTTTGAATGCAATGCTAATCAAAATTCAAACTATGGTTTGAATGTTGAAATTCAATGTTTTTTAAAGTGTTCACAAATGATATGTGAATCTGAAGTTTTATTTGCAACTTTTTCTCTCTCTATTCTTGAATAGCCTTGAATTGTGTACAATAACTGTGCATAGATTTTAATGGCTTTTATAATGGTTGTTGCGCTACAAGTGTGTGTTGTAGGCAATGGAGCTCTTCGTCATTTCGACTTTGTCTGCAATCAACACTCAAATACATTATAAAACACAACACAACTGTTCCCTACAGTTCCCTACCATTCGCTACTATAATAGGCGGCACATCATGTGAGCGCTCGGCACCGACTTTTGGTCACTACGAACAGTGGTTCGGCGGTTCACCCCTTATAACATACAGTATAACATGATTTTGCATTATCGCTATGTTTGTCACAATCGGTGTATTACCTAATCATAAATTTAGTGACTAAATCCACTCCCGTTCGCTCATATTAGGATTACTCTATTTGTCGCATATACTGTACATATTCTGTATATTATACTGTAGTGTATAAACAGCGTACAGAAGACACATATTTTCTGGTCTGCTTTACTTATACACTGGAAATTCACCAGAATTAGAGAGAGAGAGAGAGAGAGAGAGAGAGA